AAAATCCGTATAATGACACTCCAGTTAATGCATATACATCGAACGATTTCAATATGACGATCCCTACAAACGTACAACAATACGCAACCCTTTTCGCGCAGACTCATCCCGCGATTCAGAAATCACTTTAGTAACCTTTCATCGGTCGTCGTGCGCGAGCTCACGGACCGCTACCGAGTCATAAATCGAAGACGAGTTTCACGATTAAATTGATTATCCACTGGTACGTACATACGTCGATTGAGAAGGAGACTAAAGCTCTCAACGAACAAAAAAAGTACACACACACACATATATATGTATATATATGTATAAATATGTAAGAGAGGCCGACCACCTGGTGCACACAGAATGAAGTTGTATCAGCGTTGCGAACGCGCGAATTATCGTCGCTGCCGTTTGATGAACGACCCAGAGCACATTTCGCTGCGAGAGAGGATATTGATGGTTTCTTTGTGCCCCCTCGCGCAGAATAATGGACCCCTCTTTGAGAAGGATTTACCGAGTCGCGTGTTCTTCGTCTTCTGCTTCGAGAGGAAGAAAAGGAATGCACATTTTAAACGATAAATGAAAATCGCACACGCGCACGTGCGAAAACAAATTAGCTTAAAGATCTCATTATCCAGGTGCATATAACACGGCAAAACAAATCGCGACCCTGCGAGGCATACGCACACTTCAGTTGGAAGCTAATCATCGAACATTCGTGCTTGACTAGTAATGGAATCGACGTGCGGTGCGTCGCCTTGGGCACATGCTCGATGCAAAATATATACGCCCTTCGTTTTCAGCTCCTGCTTTTTTTCTTGCAATGCGCTTTTTTCATCTAAAAAAGTTCTTTTATGACATACTAATTATGAATTCGAAATGGCAGGTTCTCAAAATGATTGTTATAAATAATTTATTATCATACTTGTCTTGAGACTAAATAAATACGTACATACATATCGAATTATCCGAGTAAAGAGGCTATTTGATGCGGCTATATCTGTGGCGCCCGTTACTAACTTTTGTATACGTAGCACATTGATTTATGATTGGATGAAGAAATAAATCGAATATCTTTACTTTGAATGCAAATAAATTTATCAGTAATATTAAGTAATAGTCGCGATTGGTCAGACACGAATTATTGAAAAAACAATTATTTATTAATGAAACCTCCATGTAGAGATTTAAATTTTTTCGCATCAGTCATGTTGCAAAAGATTCGTATCAAAAATCAAGATAAGGTACATACACACAATGCAATCGTTCCGATTCTCATCAACAATGAACCGCCAAAAAGAAAATGCCACATAATGAGGTACTAATTAAAAATCTACATGGCGCTCTCGATGAATCAATACATCAAGCGCATCAATTATATATTAACAGTCACGGAACAATGAAGTTGTACCGAGCAATATATCTTCATCATTTATCAGGCGTAAAAGCAATATCTCGCGCGCGAGCGCGGTCAACATTAAAGAGACGCGCGTATACGAAAGTCGAAGGAAGATGAAAAAAAAATGAGGACGCCTGACGTGCGGAATAAAAACGCGACAGAGAGAGAGAGAGAGAGAGAGCTATATCAAATAAAAAATCTCGGCAGGGAGTCTTCTCTGACCAATTCGCGCCAGTTTCCGGGATTATAATATACTAAATGAGAATGATGATATTTTTAGGTGTGATCGAATCGAGTAGTTGGTGAAAGTATTTGTAGGATTTATTGTATAATTATATTTATGGGAGTCTGATTTTGTAAATTAAGAATTTAAAAAAAAAATATGTAAAAGAAAAAGTTTTAACGACGACGTGCGTATTATTTCGATTAAACGTACAATAATCGAGTCAATAAATTGATAAAAAGTACCGTCAACATTTTACAACACCTCACAATTATCCCACAAGTACAAATCATACAACCGAAATTCCCATACCTCACTCGATTGCTCCTCCAACGTTAAAAAAGCGGACCATCCGGATACAACAAAACTACACGAAACCCTCTCGCTAAGAACACCATAAAACGAGTGGAAAGATGCGAAGAAATCGTGTGGGTGTAAAAAGGAAGTATATGCAGTCACGTGCACACGCGCGTGATGGAATTAGTGAATTTATTGGTGGTTTCACAGCCGGGGGGCCCCCTTTACGCGGCGTGTCATTAACGGATCCACCCGCTTAATTCTCTCTCTCTCTCTCTCTCTCTCTCTCTCTCTCTCTCTCTCTCTCTCTCTCTCTCTCTCTCTCTCTCTCTCTCGATCGATGCAAACGAATATAACGATAAAACAGCGGGCAGTCACGATTGAGACATCATACACACTCGCACGACCTGCTTTTAATTGCTTTTACGAGTCCACGCTCGTCAAGAAAGGATTCTTCTTTCAACTACCACTCATCTTGCAATCTGAATAAAAGTGTGAATGAGACAGTTTTCTTTTTTCTTTCTTAATGACGTTTTCTTGCTTGGATGAATTCCGTTTTTACTGAAGTCATGCGGGGAATGAAGATGAAGTCTGTGAGATGTGAAGTCGGCTTCGCATAAATGCGTTGAAGGGACCAGTGTTTTTTTTTCGATGTGTAATCTTCACTGACCTTGTTAGTAATGTAAATAGGTTTCGATTGAGCGAACAATTTCACAGTTTTAATCATGATACTGTTATGGTTTGAATACTTGAACTTGATGAGCTGTTTATGGTTTTCTGAGCTGCATATATTAAATGGGGAATCAATAAAGATGTATTTGTCACTGATTAGCAAATAGATTGGAATGTGTGCTAATAATAATAAAAAATAATGACGATCTCTCAAAGAACTAAGCCACTTACGTGAAAAATTACTTGAGTAAATTGTCGATTTTTCCCGATACTGCCATGAAATGCATCAATGACCTGTATACATAGAAAGTTGAAGCGCAGAATAACAACAACGCCTGAAGCCGTGTCAAAAGCCGCAAGTTCAAAGTACGCTCTTGACGCTTTCGAGAGGAAAATGAAAAAGAGAGAAATATGCAACGCCGCACGCGCACGCCCACGTGCCTGCGGGAAGAAGAAAAAAAGAAACAAAAAGAATTCGGGATTCGCGAGCGAGCATCACGCGAAGCTATGCCGCGGGGCCTGCGCTGTGCCCTCGATAATTTTCATGCTCTTCGAGCTTCAAGCCCAACACCTGACACGATTGTCGAACTTTATAATCAGAAATCGTCTTATTGGCTGTCTATGCGTGTGATGCTTGTAAAATCAGTTGGAGATGATGCGCTTCGAGTCTTGGCCGAAATTAAAATGCTGTTTCTTGGCGAAATTTTTTTCTGAAAGTCAGATGCATCAGTGGAAATGGAAGCCTCAACGTACAATTCAATTCGAATACGTAATATGACAAAAGAATCAATCATCCATCGACGCGATAGCATCGGCCGAGAGGAAAATTGTTCTTGCGAAAAAAAAACAATAAGTAAAGGTCAGCGCGCAGTCGATTAAAAAATCTCACGTGCGTGTGTATAGCAGAGCGCTTAATCATCATCGCGGTTCGTTCTCTCGTCCCGTGAAATGGAATTTCGTAAAAAGAAAGGGCGATGCGGCGTTAGCGAAGCTAATGGAATTCAATATCGTGCCTTAATGCTCTTAATAATCGAGGGCAAACTCGATGGGTAACATAATAGCAGTTGCGTGGGCGGCTTTAAAACTCGTATAGTGAATATTCGATTTCCCAACTCTCGAAAAAAAAAAAATTTCCGAAAAGCCGCATTCCTCCCTGGCGATAGCTCGAGTCTTTTGCAACAACGTTGCGTAAATACCCGTACAATGATTATAAACAAAAAATTCTCCGAGCAACTGTTTTTCCCTCGCCATTGGATATCCGAAATTCTCTCGCCGCCAGCCGGAGCAAATTAGTTCGTTGGGCAAAACGGATTGTACGTTGCCTCGAGGCTCTTTCTCGTTTTAAGTATCTGCTTAATACGTTAAGTAATGGAACCTGAAACAAAAAACCACTTCTCTAGAGATATTTATAGAACAGCTTTTTAATAACCTCGATAAATCTCCAGGCGTGCATACGATTTTGATAACATTCCGTTAGTATACTGTTATTAATTTCTACTTATGCATGATTCACGTTTCTTCTTATTTTTTTTTTCTTTTCATCATAGTTTCCGCGAAAATTCCAAACAAAAAACAAATAGAGTTCGCTGTAGTATTTTATAGTAACTCTAACGTAAATACGTATATTTCCTTAAAATACTGTTATCTGATTGGTTGTCGCGTAAACAAGTGTAATTCACGTTACAAGCTTTTTGTATTTTCTTTTTATCTGGAGCAATACGTCGTATACGGTTAGAATTAATATGCAATACATCACAGAACGACAGCAAGACGAGTAAAAGGTAAATTAAGTTGCAGGTCGATAAATATAAATCGGAAATGTGCAATGACGTACAGGGCAATAAAATTCGGGTCGGCGCAGCGGCAATGGCCGTGTCAGCAATTGAGAAATCGACCATCGATAAAAGTCAAAGTACACGGATGATGAGGAAAAGAAAAAGATCAGAATTATCCGGGAGAGATCAAGTTGGATATAAAGATTTTTTTTGTTTCCAGCGAGAGGCCGAGTGCTGCGAACTGCTATAAACGCACCCAAAAATGAATTTCTGTGCCTTTAGGCGTGATATTTTGCGGGGGCGAGTGATTATCGAATTTTATATGTTAGGCATTTCGAAGGAAGAATTAATTAGATTCTGGAAACTATTTATAAAAGATATTCAGTCGAATGTATACGAGCGTGAAAGGAACTGCAAATTGTATTTTGATAAAATCTTTAAATTGTATTATAATATTTGATAATATAATGTGGAATAATGTATTCTATCGATTACTGTATATTGAATCAAATGACTATAATTATAACATTTCTTATCGATCAAACAAAAAATTTCTTTAATTTCTTTATTTCAAAAACAAATAAAATCTTTAAGAACACAAAAAGGGGTAAAGAAGGCAAAGAAAAAAACGAATAACCGAAAGACAAGACTAGTATCCTTTTATTCTTCATAGTACATCGTTTTATATATTAAAAATAAATAAATTTAAAAGTTTTCGTATTCTTAAATAAATAATAAGAATTTCCGTGATATTTATGATTAAAAGAAAAATATAGGTATCACGTATGTGCGTTATTATGCCCCTGCCAGGATGTTTGTGCGCTTATTTATTTACACTACTTACTGAAATGTACAATACACGCATGGTCGACCACACGAATGTTGTACTGGACACTTCTGTGTTCATACATTTTTTTCTTTTTACAATGCAGTTCTGTCTTTTATAATAATTGCTACTATTTTTATTAACGCGGAACTTGACACTGGACTTTTTATTCACGATTCATAAGAGCAACTCGGTTAAAAATAAAATTTCACATTTATTTTTACTCAATGACGCACATTCAATTAACTGTAAACTAATTTTTTTGCTAGTACAAAAACATGAAAATATGGAGTATAGAAAAACTATATATAACTATATTAAATAATTGTTTAACAATACCTTATTATAACTGATTCTATGTACATATTGAAGTATAAATATGGTACATCATTATCATATCTCTTAAATAAATATTTTACATTTCACAGGATTTTGTTACTACTTTCACTTCCAGCATTCGTATCATGCAGTTATTTAAAAAATCTCATAAAATATTACACATGAAAAATAAAAAATTATTTGCCTGAATCTATACAAAACATTTAAGTGTCGTTATCGATATAATGCTAATTTAAAGATTAATTTATGACAAATTGTTTCAAAATCAAACATACACGTGGTACTTTGAAAAAAGTAAATGGTTACAATTTATTCTTTCAAACATTAAAACAATATGATTATTTACATCTCCTTATTAAATATTTTGAAAATATCACAAGATTTTAACATCATAAAGAGCCAATTACATATATAATAAAAAAATCAAAAAGACTGCTCAATAAATATAAAATATAACTAAAAAATCAATCGGAAATAATGAAACATATTTTTGTGATTCACAAGAAAGAAAGTATTTTTCATTAGAAACCTGATTTATGGCAGTGATGATAAAATAACATTTTTAAATAAAATACGCATCAGAAAATAAATAAAAGCATACTTTCTATCTAATATAAACAATTTACACATAAAAGACGATAATAATTTTTAACCTCTTCAGTCACTCTTGAAAGAGAAAAATACTAAAGCTTCAACTCATACTTTTGTTAACTTGACGTGCAGACCACCTTTAGGCATAGCAATAATGGCTTGTGGAATCAGTCGATAGTCTTTACAAGTTTTGTCGCAAATTTCAACTTTATATTTCTGAATAACGGAAATAATTCCAACCTTGGATTGATAATTAGCAAAACGGGAACCTTAATTAATTGAAAGATTTGTAAGTATAAAAATATATTAAACATTATTGATAACACGAGCAGTATTAAATTACCTATGCAATTATGCGGACCATCTCCGAATGGTAGAAAAGTCATAGGGTGCCTTGATTTTTCATTTTCTTCACTAAACCTCTCTGGATCGTATACTTCCGGATTGCGATAAATTTCGGGGTCTCTATGAATTGACCATATTGGTATAAAAACTGACATATTTTTAGGTATCGTACATTTCGTGTCATTAAATGTGTAAGATGTTAATGTTTTTCTCACTAACATTGTAACGGGTGGATATTTTCTCAATGTTTCTGCAAATTGTTTTGTAAATATAGTTTCTACACTGAATTGAACCGAAGTATACGCTTAAAATATTTTATAGAAGACTTTACCTTTGATAATTTGATCTAAATATCTCATATTTTTTACGCTATCATACGTCAATTTTCCATTACACTTCTCAAGTTCTTCATTTATTTCTTTTCGTAGTTTATCTTGTATATCTTGATTAAGGGCCAATTCATGTAATGCATTGGCCATTGTGGTCGACGAAGTTTCAAACCCAGCAGCAAAAAATACAAAAGCTTGAGAAATGAGTAGCTGGTCTGTTAATTCTGCAATTATTTGAACAAATTTGAGTATCAAACAGTCTAACAATTAAAAATAATATTTATCTGTATCACAACACTTACCAAATGTTTGAATTTTTTCAGGATTATTTTTCAAATCTATAAGTAGATCAAGGAAATCATTCCTTCTTACATTATTGTCTTTTCTAAAGGTCATAGTTTCTTTGACACATTTTTCGAAAAACTTATCAGCGGCTGGCTGCATGTATCTTCCGATTACATCGTAGATTGCAGGCGCAAACTGTCTCAGTAAGCGTTTTGCTTTATTTCTGAAAGAAGGTTCAAATAGACTCCTACCAAATTTACGAAATTCACTGTCTTCTTCGGCAATAGAATTCATATTCAACCCAAAAGCACAAACACCTATGGAGTCAGTCGTAAACTTAGCTGTCAATTCACGACAATCGACCGCATCACTTTTTTCAGCCAAACGTTCCACGTAATTTTGAAAATGTGTACCACAATCAGCGATTAAGTAAAACATATCTCTGAGTTTGCCAGAAGTGAAGATTGGTGTCAATTTTGCTCTTACTGGTTTCCAACGTTTATATTCTAAATTAAAAATATGTAAACTAAATGGTTCCACCTTTTCATGAATTTTGATTCCTCTATCAGCAAACACATTGAAGTCTTTTATTAATACGTCCTTTATCAAATCAAGGTCTTTTACAATCAGTTTTGGACTGCTTAGCGAATAAATCCCAACGAGAGGTTCATTTTTAAATTGTTCGTAAAATTCTTGAATAAGCATAGCATCATGTTTTTTTCCAAGTATTACGTCTTTAAAATTTCCGAAAAATGGTATTGGTTTCGGGCCTTCTATTTTTCTTTTTATCCAATAATCAAATTTTGAATACGTATAATAATAGAGACCCAAAAAGATAATTCCTATTGATATTAATAATTCGAAAATTCCAAGCTCCATTGTATTAATTCGTTATATGTTTTAACGCGTGAACTGAAAAATAAGAAGTAACTGTAAATTTTTTAAATTGATAAATAAGTATTAATAGAAAATGATTGTTAATTAATACAAGTAAACTTATATTTGGAATGTAATAATTGATGAAAATGAATATCCCATAGAATTAATATATTTTTGAATAGCAGTATTTTACCTTATAGAACAAATACAAAGTTGACAATTGTATACAATTTGTAAAATCTAATAAACACAGTAAACTACGACAAATTTTTCTAATAAAGAGGAAAAATACATGTCGAAACTGTAAGGATTCACACACTGAACTGATGTTCAATAGAAATCAGCTTTACCTTTTATCGATATCAATTCCTCCCGTCACAGTGACTTGGGATTTTTCTTAGTAATTACCGCTTGTCTGACTTTTTTAAAGAAAAAAACGCTTATCATTGTTGTTCAGCTGAGAAGACTGTTGTGTCAGTAATATCCTGATAGTCAGCGTTATCAAGATATTTGAAGAATAGTTACAGATGATATTTATAAACTATAGTATGTAAACAGAAGAGATACTACGAATTCATTACCTTATAGTAATAGAAAATCAATGTACAAATCAAAGTGAATTACATTATAGTCTTATTATTACTAAAAGTTTGAAATAAAAATTGTCAATGCTAAAACTGCGTGACATATGTGTAATTTGAACTTTATATAAAGACAGAGTAAGAGAGAGAGAGAGAGAGAGAGAGAAAGAAAGCTACGTCATATTGTAGTAGGTAGTGACTTTCTCAATTAGAATAGTATAAAATGCTACGTCATTTCTGTACGCTATGGAGTGATAAATAACATTACCTTATGTCATCTGCTAGGTCAAACTTATCAATGACAATCATTGAATAAATATTAAATCTAAAAGTTGCGATTACACGCAATGTCTCTAAGCAAGTCGTAAGATATGTTTGCTTTTACTCGTTTTGACTATAAAATGCACGGTGAATCTATATATTACTCACAATCAATCTAATTAACTGGTTATTTCATATTGTTGATGTGTTCATTTGCATGTTAGAACTATTTTTCTAAAGAACAATGTATAGCAGAGCTCTGTTTCATAATGCATGCATTTTACCACAAATGTCGCTGAATTTCTAAGCTTCAACGCGATTTATCTAGATCTGTTTAATAATACATCAGTAGTATGTATCACAGTTCATATCAATTAAATGACGCGCCAAGAACAAGCGAATAAGCCATCATAAACGAGTGCACACATATATTCATAACAGTGCGTGCATCACGGTATATATAAGTGCAAAGTGGGCAATGATTCCAGCTCTTTCTATATCCTCGAGGCATCACAATGCACTTGCCGCCTGCCTGCGCTCTCTCTCTCTCTCTCTCTCTCTCTCTCTCTCTCTCTCTCTCTCGCTCTGCTCGATTCACTCGGAGCGCTCATTAGCCGCCCGATAAAGCCGCCGATCTCGTCGGAGTACGTGCTCGCGCACAGTAAATATCCATAACGCGAGCCGTTGGCACGCGTCCACGCGTAACGCGCATTAGAATTCCAAGGCTCTCTTATATAGAGTGGATAAAAAAACTTTACGTTGAATACACTCATCGTTTTACTTTTTCCCTCTTAGCTTGTTTCTTTTATTGAATTGTTTGTGCTGTGCCTCCTTAGGCGCACGACATAGGATTTTCTCCGAGAGTCAAGCCTACGTACCGACAGCTCGCGAAACGAAACTTCACTGGCGATGCGCTCGAGAAAAATTGCGTAGTACACAAACTTAATTGAGCCCCGACTTCAATATTTATCCGATCGACGCGCTGATCGATGAAGCTCGCGATCACAACCGACGCGAATTAATAACCGTTTGCATAAATACGATCGGCAAGCACGAAACGCATCAAGCCAAGAAATATGTATAAAGGTCGGAGCTCGCGGGCGCATAAAGTTTTTCTCGAGGCCATATCGCCTGCAGCTGCCCGCTCGCGAAGAGGTTTGCCGCGGGCGGCAGGTGACAAGAAGCCACCGAACTCCGCCCGCGTACGTATATAGATATACATACATAATGTGCAGCGCCCGAAAAATACTCGCTTAATTGGCTGTGTGGCGCGCGCGCGCCTGTGTGCTCTCCTTATTTATATACGGAGTGAGCAACTGTTTTTTTGTGAATCGCGTCGTCACCGATTGTCGATAAGACGCCTTTGCCATTAAAAGGGTGTTAGAGAAGGAGCGTGTATGTGTTTCCGCCGATCGATAAGTTATTTTTTCAGCAGACATCTTGCCGCTGCCTGAATTTATATGTTAATGTGACTCGGCCGACCATTTACCATTCTTTTATCGCGTAACAGTTGAAGTTTCACTTCGGTCAAACATTATAGTCGCTGCGTATTGGTGCTATTTAAGTGACTCCGGTTGCAATCGACTGTGATATAGAAACCACGATTGGCTTAGTCTTGCGTTGCAAACTACATCTAGGAATATCGTGCAGCCAAATTTATTAATCCTTTTCCAAAAGTATTTTCAAATTGACACTTTAATAAGGATATCAAATCAACTTTCATATCTCTCGATATCTCCCGAAGCAACACGCGTTTGCTCGCTGCCACTTGAAGAAAAAGACCGCATTCGTTCAGGAATTTATGTCTCATTTACTTTAGCGATAACGAATAGTATAACCTTTGAGCTGCCGACTAGAAAACCGACTAAAACTTGCGCGAGCGCGCGATGCATTAGCATGAATTCGCTATTAAGACGTCGCCGTCGTCGTCGCCAAACGGCAGCTGCTCTCAGTCGAGAGGGTATACGCACTAGGACTTTCCGGATTCGGATAATTCGCGTGACATACTTACTCGGGCTACTGATGGGGAAGCGCAGTTAATCGCGAACTCATCGTAGAATTATAAATCACCGCTTGACTTGGATGAAATTTTAGAAACTCACGAGGATTTTCTGTATTCGAGTGCTTTCGCCGTCAAATTTTCGCTTATTTGACTATTATTTTGTCGCATTAAATTTGAAATTTCAATAATTTTATAGATTAACTCAACGAGGAATTGCGAGGATAATCATTGAAAACGAGAGTCGACATATTATCACACTAATCTAAGCTGATTTATAAGTGGCTAAAAAAGTCTATTTAGTGAAATATGTAAATAAAGACGAATATTAAAAATAATTTAAGCTCTATTAGATTTAATTCTGGAATGTCTTTGCATTTAAGGATTTCAAGCGGGTCTTTTGGTTCGGCAAGATTTCATTGCCCTTGAGCTAAGCGAATATTTTTTTTTTTGTAAGCCGAAAAAAATCTGATATCTTTAATATCTTATATTATCGTTAAAATAATATATTTATATTAAAAAAAAAAACTGAAAACTACCTCGTTTATAGACAAATGCACGTTAAACTAGAAAGTTCACTACCGTATAGAATCAGGAATGCCGGATGCACGCCAAAGACATTCTCATTAACTATCGATTCGCCGCGAGTTCTCTTTCTTTTTCGAACGTGTCTAACGTCTTCATGCGATTACTACGGATTATTTATACAACGACAAGTTAATAGAGCAAAGAAAAAAAATAAAGAATAAAATGTTCGATAATCAGTATGGTATCGCATAGTTGCGCGAAAAAAAGGTACAATCGTACAGTGGCGGAACAAGTCGAAGCGCGCGGACACATCAAAGAGCCACCGGCAATAATTATAGAAATATGCGCGCGCGATCATGCAAAGCCCTCGCAATGCAAGAAACACACTGCCGATTAAAAGGGGAGGAGGCACAAGAAAGTCGTCGCCTTCGTTGGAAAACGAGGGTGTTATTCTATAACTGCTCACTCCCTCTCATTCTCTCTCGGTAATACAGTTACTCGCGCAGGAATTTATCTCGTTATCGGAAGTTCAGTATCGATTAAGTGATTGCGCGCTCGAGTGCTTTTTCCTCGCTCGCTTGATATTCTCTAATAGTTGAAGAATCTCAGGCTAGAAAGAAAAAATATAAAACAAGAGAGAGTCGTAATAACAATTTTTTGAAAGTGCCATCCTGTGGCCATTTTAATTGATAACAACTGCTAGTTCATTATATTGTAACGCTATGACGAAATGACCAACAAAAAAATTTATTAAATTCTTAGTCTCTATCAACTTCAGGCGATCATATTTTGCATGTTATAGATTGAAAACCGGAAAGGACAAATTTTTTTAAATCACTACTCGAGTCCCCAAGTAAGTAATCGCGTTTTTTTTGCATATTACATAAATTAAATTTTATCGCGTAGCCGTGTAACTTCATCGACTAGTTCTTTTAATTAACTAATTTGCAAAATTATAAATTATCAGGCCGCGCGACTGCGTCGTTTGTAAATCGTTGGCATTACGAAATCATATGCTTCTATCAAAAAATTCCTTAACACTTGCGGAACACGCGACAGTGCAAAGACAATCAATCAGTGCGACGCTATGTAATTTAACTAATCGCACTTTTTCCGCTGATAATTATCATTTTTTTAAATTTAATTGTAGAAAATGAACGTTTTATCGAAGTCATCAGGCGTCTTGTTACGCTTACGACACTAGTGTCACTATGAAATCCATGCAAAATGAAAATCGTAAATTAGAAAACAAATAAAAGAGGATGTTGATTTCACACCACAAGTAATTCGCGCGCGCACGACGGTAGGGCCAAGTGAGTGCGTAATTGGCACACTTTCCGCTATACAGCAGTTCTGCGTATTATCATCCTTAATGCTATTCAAACAGAGAACGCGAGGGTATATACCTATATGCCATACTCGCGTGACTACTATTACTGTAAGCGTTATTCGACAAGTGGTGCGCTGGCCCCCAGTAGTAGCCAATTACCTTATCTCGTAGCGATGTTTTGTCGTATATAATATGCGATTCGAAGATATTGCTGCTATTTTGACGAGCTTGTTTTTGAGAGTGTGAAAATATTTTTATTAATACGTTTACCTGCGATTAATTCTCCATTCACATGTTAGATAGTTAATGTGCGATGATAATGATAAGATTAGTTATGATATATTTCGTGAAATTTTTATTGTTTCTTATACGTCAAAATCGTCAGTACTTTTCCATTATCTTTATAATTCTTGCTGAGGCCTGTTTTCACAAAAAAAAGCTTTTTTGTGTCATTTGGCCACAAATTTGCAAATTTGGCATTAAGCGAAGGAAGAAGCAGGTGAACGAGTTCAATATTAATCTTGTCTATTCCGACTTACACGTCTAGACAGCATATTCGCTGTCGACTAATGTTATGCAAAATTTATTAATCACTCGTAGCAAAAATAAAAGTGTTGCATCGTTGATCATTAACACAAATTTTTGTCAAAATACGTAAAAATTTTAATTTACCGCGACTAATAAGTGTCGGTGTACTCGCATCATGCTTAAAGATGAAAAAAAGAGACCAAAGTTGTCAGTTTACTGACGTTGACGTACGTTATTCGCATTGCCGTATATTTATTCAACATATATCAGAGTCGCGAAGTTTGTCGATCATGGTTACCACCGATAAACTGTTGCAATCCTATCAGAGATACTTATGTTAGATAACTTTTCGACTTGTATCTTGCTCGTTTCATAATATATGATGACATTTACGTTAGAAAATATTATCAATTCGCTTGATCCAATTACCAAATTAATAAGAAACTTTTCCATTAACTCTCATATCTTATATAAAAAGTCAATGTATATAATACTCGCACACGATGCGGCAAAGTTAGTATCGGCAAAAATGTGGAAAGTAATTTTACTCTACCTCGTGACGACTGCATTCGCTTCATCGTACAAGATTTCTACGAAAAAATCCGGATCGTGGTGGAATAATATCGTTCTCTATCAAATTTTCCCGCGTAGTTTTAAAGACAGCAATGGTGATGGAATCGGTGACTTAAATGGTATAACCAGCAAACTCCAGTATATCAAAGAATTTGCCGATGCAATTTGGCTTTCCCCGATATATCCAAGTCCTCAGAACGATTTTGGTTACGACATATCCGATTTCATGGATGTACATTATGAGTATGGTACTTTGAAAGATTTCGATGAGCTTGTGTTGAAAGCCAAATCATTGGATTTGAAAGTTTTACTTGACTTTGTACCAAATCATAGTTCTGATCAACACGAGTGGTTTAAAAAGAGTATTAAACGTATTAACCCTTACACCAAATATTACGTATGGCAAGATGGTAAAAAATTACCTAATGGTACTAGAGTACCACCCAACAACTGGTTATCGATGTTTGGTGGTTCAGCGTGGGAATGGAACGAGGAGCGAGGTCAGTACTATTACCACCAATTTTTGAAATCTCAACCAGATTTGAACTACAACAATCCCAAGCTTCAAATAGAAATGGAAAAAGTCATAAACTTTTGGCTAAAAAGGGGAGTTGATGGATTTCGTGTTGATGCGGTTTCTCACCTCTACGAAGATCCTTTACTGAAAGATGAACCAAGATCTAAAGAATCTGTACCACCTGATGATTACCTATATCTTGTTCATAACCATACCAGAGATTTGGATGAAACTTATAGCATTGTAAACACATGGAAAGAATTAATGGACGAGTACTCGAAGTATCATGACAGGATTGAAAAGCTTGGATTTATGGAAGTCGGCGGAAACGATTTTTCTAAAACTATGAAATTCTACTCAGTTGGAGTTGACCCTATGAATTTTGCGTTTATTACAGATTTGAAAAACGATTCAACAGTTGCCGATTTTAAAAAGATCATCGACAGATGGATGAGCTCAATGCCTTTGAATAAAATCGCTAACTGGATCGTAGGTAACCATGATGTTGCGAGAGTTGCATCAAGGTTTGGTTCTAATGGCAATAGACCTGATCAATTTTCAATGCTATCTGCTATTTTACCTGGGATGACAGTTTTGTACAATGGAGACGAAATAGGCATGATCAATAGTGTCTTTACTTACGAGGAGACAATCGATCCAGCTGGTTGTAATGCTGGACCTGACAGATATCAACTGAAATCAAGAGATCCTCAAAGAACTCCATATCAATGGGATGATTCGGTTAGTGCAGGTTTTTCTACAAATTCGAAAACCTGGCTCCCGGTCAATGACAATTATAAAACATTGAATTTGGCTCAGCAGAAAAAGTTACAAGTGTCACATTATAAGATCGTAAAGGCCTTATCAGATTTGAAGAGAAAATCTCCAGTTTTGATAAAAGGAGATACTCGAGTGTATAATGTGCTCGATAAGGTATTAGTTGTGGTTCGCAGATTATCAAATTATGATCCCATTGTCATCTTGATCAATTTCACCGATGAAGATTTGGAAATAGATGGAACATTATCTATAGGTAATCATTCCAAGAAAATGTTAGTTTACGTGGCGAGTATGAACTCTGACTTGGAAAGTGGTCAAGTTGTACAAATGAAGAAAATATATGTTCCTAAAGCATCAACGGTCGTTTTAACTTCCACCAGAGATATGTTTTCATAACTAACAAAAATTGTATAAATAATTGATTAAAAATACATTCATTTCACGCTAATCATTTGATGCAAAAATATTTCTGCCATTTTTTTACCAACTATCGCTTCCGTCTCCTAACAGTAAGACCCGGTGTGAGCGAGAGAGAGAGAGAGAGAGAGAGAGAGAGAGAGAGAGAGAGCGCGACCCGGTGGCAGATGTGTAATTACGCTGTAATTCAAAAACACGAAAGGGAAATTACCTATTACGAGCGCGCGTTTCTCAAGCGTGTTCCTATTAATGTGCGTGCGCGCGCCCGCACCGTGCACTTCCAACAGAGCTCATTAATACATGTTAAGACGTCGCAAAATTTTCGAAATCATGTAGCTTTGCTCTATACGCAAATTTAATTGGTTTTCTATTTTCTTTTAAGTTTCTACCAAATATCAATCTGTTATGCAATAATATTCGACTAATAATATCATCGAGGAAAGCACAAGTTAAAAGATAAAAATTAATTTTTCCCGAGACCGACTATGTAAATAAACTCATACAGAAAACATCAATCGTTAACTTTCTCTCTGTCTAATGAACGTTCTTTCGGTTTTTAATAGTTGAACAACATTGTTGGTTGTCCGTCGTTTTTTTTCCTTTTGCGCGTAATTACTCCCGCCTCTTATACCGCGAGCTCATAATTTTCGAGTATTTACGCGCGTAACCGTTCATTCCACGGGTATACGGAGGCGTTTTTATGCGCGCGCGTACGGAGCGAAGACGAAAAGTTTAGTGCGCATGCAATTGGTCAGTTCGATTTATTTGACCAATGATCACTTGAGTTTTGTGCTGCCGGGTTTTGCGCCAGCACGTGTGGGAACCGCAGCATATAAGAAAAAGATATGACGGCATGCACGATTAGACTATATTTATTTGCTTGTGTTGTTTTCTTTCTCGAGCTATCGTAACTTGTACTTTTTGCTGTGCTGTGTGCACTTCAAAATTATTCAATTACAGCGGAGGATTTTGTAGGTTACGACATTGTGCAGGAAAATTGCCACATGTTAATAATTTACACGTGCACGTGCTGACATTTTTCATTGACGCACGTCGGGTTAAATAATTTTCAGGATGATATAGAGTCAGTAATTTGTCTAAATTTCTTATTTCTTTAATGATATTTCTACTCCGGCTGAATCATGTAACATACTTTAATAATTTTTTATAAGAATGTTTGTATTTATTTATCTAATCTCATTCAAGTTGAAAACATCTAACTAATTAATTTACAAATAGATATAATATCTCACGTACGAGTAACACAACTCTAGTCGCGAGGAACATTATACAAAGTCTGGTATAGTAGTATGATAAATGACTTAATCTTATACTTACCCGCCGAATTTCTTACTTCACCAAACAAAAGCCGAACCTCCCCGTAGTTTTGTAGCTGTCGTACATATATCGACTATATTCTAATTACAAAGGTGGGCGCCGCGCATATCGGCACCGGATGCAGAAATTTTGTGTGTGAGATCAGCGCTGTTGCATCGTAAATATCCTCCTACCCGCGCGACGACGCTCGCGAATACATTATTTCGAGCGCATTATTGTCTAGGTAAGATAACCGCCAGGTGGAGAAATTTCGAGTTTGTTGATTTTTGTTTTTATTCGTGGAGAATGAAATGACGAGAATCGTGTGAAAGTTGAGGAATTTGGCTAGGATCGTTTGTAAGCTTGTGCAATGGGCGCGAATGATAAATCGCGGTGATTAAAATGAAGCTGCAAGCAACTTTGTGCACCGATGGTTGCTAGTTTAATGGGTCGATGAAAAAAGAGAGCGTTTGGGTTATCGCAGCTCTGGTATTAAATGAGAATCGTTCTGCTAGAGTAAACCGCAGCGGACTGAGCGATGTAGTTCCATTTGCGATATTCAAAAATGGCGTTATGGTAAATCTTGAACTGTATTTCTACAAGTAGATCTGCTATAATGAAAATGGTTCGTGTAGATTACTGATTAGGCCAGTACAACAACTCAAATTAATTCAATTTGTGGCAATATATCACTCTCAGCTAAACAGAATTAAGAAATCGTTTGAGGCACAAGTTCTGCAAAATGAAATAAACAGGCCATAAATTGATCGGGAACATATTTCCAATCGACAAGCGTCCGAAAACAATCAACGTTTCAATGGACCCCACAAATAAATCCGCTTAATAAAGTTATGATCTAATCGCGACAGGCTGCGGCGATAGAGTAATTTGACTTTAAGCCGAATCACAGCTACGGCGCGTACGTATCTATATGTACACGTTTACGAGTGCATAAAATCGTCCACTATTTCGCAAGTGCGCGCGCCAGTCGTTATTCTTGAAAACAACACAGGCAGCGCCGTGCGTGTGTCTAACAGAAAAACGGTAGGCAATAAAACAAACATTTATCTTTGCCTCGGCGGTGATTTACCGGAAACTTTTGCCCACTTTGCATTGCGCCGAGGCGGCCGCGGAGCGTACACCGGTTTTATTCACGAGATGCACTTTCGCGCGCGCGCGCGCGCACACACACACACACACACACACACACACACACACACACACACACACACACACACACACTCAACCACCGGCGAATGAAATTATTTCACTCGAGTCGGACGTAGTGGGAGTGACGAGGTTGCCCAGAGAACTGACAATTTATTATTCTAGATCATGCCACGGTCCCAGCTGCATAGCCTGTAATCTCACTTTTACAATAAGACTTTTTTCATTCGTTCTACGCAACTTACTGCACGAACGATTCTTGAAGTAAGGACAATTTATTTCGCAGACGGGACGTGTACGCAGCACAAGTATTAAGCGTACTGAAATTAACAAGCCTAAAAATTTTCCAAAAATAAGTGACAAACTGCCTTACGAACGAAAAACATAAGATTTTCTTATAATGAATGAGAAATACAGTTTGATATATTTAGTCAAAGTTTTTTTTTTGTTTTGAGAAGGTTTACGTTCAATTTGTACTAAATGTGAGCAAGAGCTTCTCAATTATATTGTAATCAGGTATGTATTTGTTGAAACCAATTTTTTAAGAATTTTGGTTACTTCAGAATGTTTACTTATTTATTTCTTAAGTGAAAAGTATCAACGATTAAGAATGCAACGCAAAAGTAAGAAATTTTTCTTTTTATGTCGATGGATCAAAATTTTGAAGAAAAAATCGATCTCCAGAGACGGGAAAATTAATAGTGCAACTGTAAAGAAAAACCCTCACGTAAAGAAGTATAGTCAGGTAAAAAAATAAATAAATAAGAAAACGGCAAACTAGAGAAGATAACCAAGGAAGCGATTAGGTAGTCTCCCCTCGTATGGCGACACACACAGCAAGCGGCCAGCGCGATAAATCTTTGCTGGAGAAAGAGAGAGAGAGAGAGAGTCAGGTGGACGACGACGATGGTCATCAGGCTGCTGCGACTCTTTCTCTCTTATCTGCAGTAAGCAGGAGCAGTGCACAACGTGACACGACCTATAGAGTCGACCTCGCGCATACGTTGTGGCTCGTGACCTGTGGGCAGCATGCACGCAATGGCTCTTTTTCGATGCTAGCCGTGGAGTCGTGCCGCGATAACGAGAATCGAGTTAGGCGGTAGCCGATTGCCCTTTTTTTGTGGATCCTCCGATTTTATCTGATACTTTTACCCGGACGATTCTATTGTTATGAACATTGTACCATCTATCGATGAATAGTTATTGGATGAGATTGGGAAAGCAAGACGGAATTGACGAAGGCAACATGAGGTTATTCCAGTTTTTCAAAGTAACACATCCTCGAGCAAATTACATTACTGTAACTTGGAAGAGCGCACATCAGTGGCGGGCTTATTAAAAATTTCACGATCGATTAACTAGATAAAGAAAAAAAATTACACGGATGCTGGGTAAAGGCAGTTTTGGCGTAAATTATATCACGGGTGGTCCAGAAATGATCTCGAAACTCGTTAGTTGAACGAGTCGCAGTTTTTTGCGTAATTACACGCATCGTTTCTCGCTTAAAATCGTGAGCTTTGATTCGAAAAGTAGAGGCTATTTCTAAGTTGAGCATAGAGTATCATACGCGAGTGCGGCAGGCTTCTCGTCTAACAGAAGCGCTTTCTTATGTGCACGACACTACATTCCCACTGATACGGCACCGCGTGCTGCCAGTCGTCAGCGTGAAAGTAGTATTTTCCTGCGTATCTCTCGACTCTGGCTACACCGTGAGAAGATCGTAATGGTCCTGGTTTAGCAAAAGAATTTAGTCGATCGAGTGCTCTCCAAGCGTTTGCGAACAAAATAGTCATTCGGAAAGTCGGTCCCCCGCCGGAAAGAGTGCTCGATTGCCAGCGACACTTGAGACGGCCTTCAAGCAAGCAATCTCTCGCCCAAACGTTCTTCGCCGAGCAAATGCCCGTCCAATATTTGCGCGCGACAATATGTCGCGTGGGCGCGCGCAGAGAGCAAAGATAGCTGAGGCACTCGCGTAAATCGGTGGGCGTCTTCAATGACGCCGGGGTGAGCGACGCTAGCGTTTATTCGACATTGTCGTCCCCTCGAAAACGGCCACGCGGCGTCGCGACGTCACGAGCGAAGACGTCGAGCGGTCGAAAAAAAAAAAAAAAAGGCGCGCGCCTCGATTTATGGCTTCATTTTGCGCGCATATAGCGCGCGTCGCTGTTAGCCGCGCGAGAGTTGCGCAAAAGCCGTATACGCGCGCCTGTGTAATACTCGATAACGACCAGTTGCCAATAGGCCATCGCGTTCGCGCGCTCTTGATATTTATTTTTGCCATTACCAAATAGCCGGCCTTTGATATTTCATTAGCATTCTTCGCGGTACGTGGTCATATGCGTAGCGAGATGTAATAATGTCAACCGCCAGATTTCGCGTGTACGCGGCAGCTCTTTTTTCACAGCGAATTTCGCGCGAATAAACTTTCGATTAACAAACTCGCTGGCCGTGCTTTTTTTTTGCGTATTCGATATATTTTCAATGTATTTTGGTTA